TAGTGAATTCTTTGGCACGTACTTGTGGTGTTGCAGGAATGGGGAGCCAGGTGTGGGGAGCTGATCTTCATGGGGGTCCCAGTCCTAGGGTCTGGTGGGTTGACCCAGGGAAACGTGTTCCATTTGGTAGAGTGTACTGTGGTAGGAGATGAGGTTGCTTGGAATGACGAATTTGCTAAGTTGCATTGTGTCCTTTCCTGTCCTTCCAGAACGTGTACAAGTCTGACCTGCAGTGGCTGAGGGGCATTGGCTGGTCCCCACTTGGATCATTGGATGCTGAGAAGAACAAGAGGGCGAGCGAGATCCTGAGTGACAAGAAGTATCGTCAGCACCCAGACACCATCAAATTCACCAGCCTTCCTGACTCCATGCCCATGGTGCTGGCAAAGCACAACTCCCAAATCATGGACCAAGTGAGATTTCTTTATATTTGCATTCTGAAGGCAATAAGCACCTTGCTTTCTCAGGGTGTTGTTCTATGTCCTTCCAAGGCCCAGGTTGTACAAGGGGAAAAATCCCACTAGACCGGGGGATTTGTGTCCCTTGTTTGAGGTAAAACTCTTCTTCTGTGTGGTTGGAGCAGTAAAGAGGTACAATGTGGAACAGAAAACGGTGAAGCATTGGAAACATTGGGGAATGGAAATGGGTTCCTGAATCAGTTCAAAGTAGAGGTCTCTTGCTTTGGTTCACACAGCTGATGTTCTAGTTGTCTTTGTTTCCTTAAACCTGTGTGTTCTTGTTTCCTCTTGTGCTCCTTTCCCAGCGCTCGTACATCTCAGCCTGGGAGAAGGACAAAACCAGCATTCACATCATGCCAGACACCCCTGGGATCCTGCTGGCCCAGCAGAACAAAGTGAACTTCAGCGAGGTGGGTGGTTGCTGAGGGTGCAGTGTGTGTCCCTGGGCGCTGTCCGGGCAGCAGCGTTGTCTGAGGGCCTGGTGGTGTCTGTTCCAGAAACTGTACAAGCAGGCGATGGAGGAGGAGAAGAAGAAGGGCTACGACATGCGGGCAGATGCCATTCCCATCAAGTCTGCCAAAGCTTCCCGGGACATCGCCAGTGATGTGAGTGCACAGCAGCCCTCGTGGCACACA